GTTGTTGTTGTTGTTGTTGTTGTTGTTGTCTTAGCCGGAGCATGGTTTTCCTTGTTCCTATTTTGTGATTCCCTGGCTTTAGATTTTTGTTAGTTGTCTGCGCATTCTACACGTTTCCTACATTTGTGTTTGCAGGACTACTTGCACGTCAGCGAAAAAGAGAATTGCAACGGTTGAATGAACAGCTCCGCCAAATCAATGCTGCTCTAAGAAGGCAAGCCAAGATTGAGTCCTATGCACCTAACTTAAGTTACGCTCCTGTTGGTGGCAGGGTTGCAGAAAGTGAAGTAATTGTTGATCCAAGAAAACAGGAATTAATAACTCGCTTGAAAAATGGGAAGAAATTTCTTAGAAACCAAGTACCAGAAAAGGCGCAATTGGAGTTTAAAACTGCTCTTGACCTTGCACAGAATTTAAAAGAACCTTTGAAGGAAAAGAAAGCAGCTCGGGGCTTAGGTACATCCCGCTTCTTGTTCTGTTTAAGCCCTCAATTTCTTGATTGCACTTAAAGCCAGGTTGTGTGTGTCGCCTCGCGTAAGTGACACTTTGTTGTAGGCGCTAAGGTGCTATGGCATGCACCTCATTATCCATGGGCTCCGTCTTTAAGAAAACAGAGCTATACAATAATTATATTGGTAAACTGACACATTATTGTCACAAAAAGAACCGTCAAAAATGAACTTTCTTTTGATAATCCAGAAATCCCCGAGGGCCAGTAGCGCACATATTGGAACTCTGTAGATAATGGGTCCAACCCTCTACCCCTCTCCACTTAAATACCAAGCTTTTGTACGCGCCAGGGTCCAAACGTGTGACGTGCGCGTAACCCACACATCACAAGTTGCGTTGTTACTACGTTACAAATGAACTTTTGTTGGTTAGGAATAGAAATTAAATCTTTAGGATAAGAAAACTTGCTTTAAGAAAACATAAAACTAATCTTTTCATCTCAATGAGAAAATTAAAATGGTTTTTAAACTTGATTTATGCCATTTTTACTTGTTTGGGAATGAGGTGTAGTAGTTGTTAATGCCACTTTTACGTCATACATTCCACTTAATGATAGTTATTGTTTGCACTTAAAGCCCGATAGACTTTGGTGCTTTTCTGCGCTTTTCACTTTTGACTAGTTTGAGTCTTACTTTTAATAAGTTGGACTAGACTCCAGTAACTCTTGTTCCTTATGGTAGAGAGAGAGGGGGAGAATTTATTTACACATACAAACATGACCATATACACAATGCTGCTCATTCTCTCCTTTATTACGATGTACGAGTGTCATAGTTTTATGTTGGGTTTTCCAGGGGCATCTTTACAACGGCAGGGCAAGTACCGGGAAGCTATAAAATACCACTCTTTGGTTCTTGAAATATCGGCAAGACATGGAGAGGAGTCGGGAAACACAGAAGCTTATGGAGCAATAGCTGATTGTTATACTGAGCTTGGGGATTTGGAACAAGCTGCAAAATTCTATGACAATTATATTGCAAGGTTAGAGACTGATTGAGCTGCTAGTGGGAGGATCTATGATCGAGAAATCTATCTGGAGCCGACCCTTTGGGTCAATCACAGCCTTCAAAACTTGGGGATAATGGGGTCGCACCTCTATCCTTCTCCACATAAATACCAGAGTTAGTTTGCTTGGCACGGGGCTCGAACCTATTATGGGTATTTGTTTATTTTCATGCATTCAAAGTAGAATGCTTAGAGCCTGAGACGGTGAGACCACCACTATTTCTCCGGAAATCCTTTCTGTATGAGCATACTTTATTAACTGGTTCCTTCCATTTTCCCTTTTACATACTCTTTTCCAATGTATCTATCTGGAAAAAACTTAGATTACGATAAATTGGATCGGATTTTGCTGTTTTTTTTCTGCAGTACATCGACATGAATCTCTCATCTCGTATTTACCAAATTGCATTAGTTTACCATGATTAGTGGAAAATAAAGTGAGAATATGAATTTCATGTCATGTATTTATTCGCTTGGTAAGAATTTCAGGTGCTGGTCGCCATATGCTTTCAGTGCAATTGGTGTTTAGAATTTCTGCAGGTGAATTTACATTAAATTTGGATTTGGGTTATTGACATTCAAATTAGCTCTCTTAACTAGTGGAGGTAACATCAAAGTTGTTCGGTACTTGAGCTGGAAGGAGGTAGCAGGTACCCGATGGATTTTATTTGAGGTGCTGCAAGCTGGTCCGGACACCACTGTGGTCAGGGAAAAAAGAGAAAAACTAATGGATTAACAGTATTTTACAGAGTTGTGAGGAGAGATCCTAATAATTAAATCTTAAACGTTTCCAGTGATCCTTGTGTCACATATAGCCATCATTTCTCTCTCAATTCTTCAGTACGTTAAAGATTGTTTTAAGTTCTGAAATATGATAATAGAATAAAGTAATCAAAGTTCAGAAGCATCCGTCCCACCTTTAGAAACTAGAAAATGCAGATATCCAATCCTTCCATCTTTTTTTTTTATTATCATTTTTGTTAGAACATGAAGGCACATATGAGGGGAAAATATAAAAGAAAATAAAGATTTCTCAATTGCAATGTACAAGAAGCAATATTAAAAAGCTTAAAGAATGAGAGAATAAAAACTGCACTTTATTCACAAATGAATTTAGTCTCTTGTTTCTAAACCTTAAATTTGGCAGAATCTTTGTCGGGATAGGGAAATGTTAGCTCTGCTATTATGCCAAAATCAAGAACGCGGGTTCATTAACATAATACACTTCTCCGACCTTTTCTTCCTACGATAAAGCAAAGAAGGTTCTTAACAGCATCAACAGCAATAACAGATTCATAAATAAGAACACAGAAGATGAAGAAAAGGAATTGAGCTCAACACGAAATGCTATTTGCTCGATGTAAAACTGCTAAACTGAACCGGTCTCATTCCTCCCTCTCGATGCTTCATAGGTAGCAAACACTGAAACAGTCATCTTACTTGCTTTCTTTCTTCATCCCTTCGTCAACCCACTTATCAAACTCAGACAACAAACTATAATCAACATTATCAACAATTTTGCTCTCTAAAGGGTTCTCTCCTTTTAAAATGGACTTCTCGGAAGAACCTTCAACACCAGCGTCCCCTTGGTTCACATATGGTGACTCAAGAACTGGTGTCGGATGACTTTCTTCCGGTGTAATGTGATCTGACACCTCAAATGTATCTGGAAGAATCTGAGACACAGATACGTCCATCCTTTCACCCTCCTCCACAGGCTCTCTAACTGTCTCCCGACCCTCACCATCGCCCAAAGCTACTTCATTCCCTTTCTCGCTATTGTCCTTCTCGCCCATAGAGTCCTTGCCATGCTCTTGACCTTCACAACCATTGTCTTCACTATTACTAAAGTCACTAGAATCGCTTTCGCCGTGTCTGTCATGGTGGCCATTTTCTCCATCAAGCTGTTCAAAATGAGAAATGAAAAAACATCATTATTTTCAGGTATATACTGAAATAGCACACACAAGTGAGCTACAAAGGTTGAGGTCTTTCTCTATCAAAGCTATATACCAGAAGATGAAGGGAGTCCATCAAAAAGTTCCATGGAGAAAGTTGATTTGTAATAACTATGGTGCACCAAGATG